ATCACGAGGCTCTCAGCACCTCATAAGAGCTTATTTGTTCAAACATGAAGAACTAGAGTAAATGAAACTCAGAAAAAGACACAATGTAGCTTTGGAGGACATTAGCCCTGTGGCCAAAAAGATATTTTTAGCAGCTGAAAGGGTGTGTGTGCCTGATCCTGTAACATGTTTTACATTTGAGGCATGCCGCAAAACCAGAAAATGTCGCCCTGTTCAATGCATATGTGTCAAAGTAAATATGGGGCAAAGAACAAAGATGTGTCTTTTTTCACCTTTGTATTTGAAATATTCAGATGTTTCTAATACACAGTACAGCATGGGCATGAGAGTGTTAACCTTGTGGAGAATAGGCTGAAAAGTCTACCTTGTTTTTGGTGTGTAGGAATTTGCCCCATTCTTCTCCATCGATGCCTGCAGAAATACAAAGTCGAGGACAGATGTTTTAAATACAGATTACGTGATAGATGTGGCCTTGAGACAAACGTTACTATTATTACATCCCTGATTTAAATGTGTTTTCTGCCGGCAAGGATGTGAAAGATAAACTCTTCAGAGGAGAAGGCGCCACAGCTGAAGAGCTGTTCTCACATAACAGTAAAGGAAGTAAATAACCTAAAGCAAAAATAAAGTGCATTCTGGAAAGCAGAAACCTAGAAAGGCTATTTAAAAAAACAAAACAAATCAAAGTAAGCTGATTTTTGATGCAATAATCAACAGGTTGGGGTCTGTTGTTCATCTGAAGGAAGCTGCTCTATGAGGCCCTTATAATTATTTTCAACACAATTGTATATTTTTTGACCAGAATATACCAACTCTCTTTAACAAACTTCAAATGACAGACACCAGCCTATTTGGGCGGAAGGGCATGAGATGAAGCCACATGGTTTTGCAGTTTTGGAAAAGCTATACAAATACAAAGCAAGATGGGGACAAATACGGAAAAGAGATGGGTGGTGGGGAGCATTGGATTCGGTGGGGGGCTGATTACATAAGATACAAACACAGTGGGATACAGAACATGGGAAAAGGAGACCTTTGTAAAGGCGTCCGTTTTTCTTGGATTCTGCAGTTAAAGAGAGACGACAGGAGAGAAAAGAGTTAACTCGGCAATCTGCAGCCCCTGCATGAGACTCTGCAGTAATGCAGAGTCACTCTGCAGTCATTCCCAGAGGGCAGGACAAACTACACGCAGGATCTTGGCACATTTCAGTTCCTTGTTTTTGTTTTTTACTGAGAAGCGGGTGGCATCTGTTCTAAATCAGAGATAATAACACCATCAATACGAAGTCACTCTAACTGCTCTAACAATAAAAAGCAATTAAGAATCTGTTTAAAGAGCTCCCTTTATTTTACATTTTATTAAAGCTGTAAATTTTGTCAGAAAATTGGAAGCATAGTGGACTAATCCAACTACTAAACAAATGCCAGTCTGAAAAATGCGTTAGCAAACACCAAAGGCTGAAAATGTGTAAAAAGTTGACTTTAAAACGAACTATTTAGAAAAATATAAATGTTCATTTTCGACATAAAAATTAGAAGAGGGGACAGTTATGTTACCATTCTCTTCTGTGGGTTTTCTGCGGTCTTCTTGGTCGATGTGCACTAGCTGGAGGACGAGAGGCCGGCGTGTGACAACACCAGTCCCTCGTGGCAGAATATCCCTGCCAACCAGGCTCTCCAAAACCGAACTCTTCCCGCTGCTCTGTAGAAAGTAACAACAACAAGATCATAAACAACAAAACTCCCCCCAAAGGGCGTAATCTTGACCCAATTTTCACCAAAATTAAATCAGCTCGAGCTTTTATTGGTATCTACCACCATGCAAAATTTAAACACAGTACTTAGAAAACTGTGGACACCAGACTGGTAACAAACAGTCAAACAAACCCAATTACACACTCCCTCATTGGCCAGAAAAAGTTGTTTTCAGCATACAGAAAAAAACTCTTAACTGACACAGAGTTTTACATTCACAGACGAGATGTTGGTGCCCCACACAAAAGAAAAACCTCCCGACCATAATAAATGTATTTTACCGGTGTGGTTAATCAGGGCTTCATTTAATCGAACATCGTTTTTAATTACATGGTCAGAAACAGCAAAAAGCATCACTTTGGTCTGATTCACTTTGCTGTACATGAACCAATACTCTCACACAGGAAGCCCCATGAGAGGTTAGCATTACACTATTTTTTAAAGCCCATTTTCGCTGAACAAATGTTTTCAGGCATTAGTAGAGGAACTAGTATTAATTTAGGAACTAAAGTTTGGAGTTCTGACAAACATTCAAGTTTTTTAACCTGTGCACTATTTTTGTCTACACAGGAGGGAAGCGCTATAATGCATTAACACCAGTATAAGGGATGGTGTTTCTATTGATACAGGACTGTGTGAAAGTCTCAAGCCACCCCTCATTCCTTTATGTTTTACATGGAAAGGGGGAAATAAATGCAACGATTATTTAAACCTGCAAAAATATATGGAAACACAGTACATAAGGCAGAAACAGAATTTGTAAAATTCTAATGAGCTTTAAAGTCAAACTTTCATATGACCACCTTTATTCTTCTTCACAGCCTGAACTCTCTAAGGCAAACTTTCTTGCAATTTCTTTAAGTAGTCTTCAGGAGTAGGATTTGAATGATTTGAAATTGAAGACCTGCTGATTTTCAGTTCAGTTTTTGTGTAATGTTGGCATAGCTCAGCCTTTCTACCTTTTTCAGTTCCTTAAGAAATGCTTCTTGGCAGCCACCATTTCTGATTGGTGAACACTAGATGTATCAACTGAAGAGCCAGATGCATCTCTCAGGTCACTGCTGGACTTTTACCCTATTTCTTAAGGACATGACTTTCAGATACTGTGCATCTGCTACAGGTAGGTTTTTAGGCCTGTGACGATTTCTTTTATTCTCCACTTGCCCAGATTCTTCAATATTTAAGGAGACACTTGCATAGCGCTGTAGGCTTGATTCAGTTTGTAGTTGAGTCATCTCTAACGAAACTGTGTGTAAAGTGAAATACTTCACATACAAAATGCACATAAACGGCCAGGTAATCTTCCACAGTAGGAGCAGCAGCTGTAGCAGTAGCTGTAGCAGTAAACCTAAAGTTGATCTGACTGCTATAAGTCGGTCTAATGATGGACAAGACACACACACAAAAAACAATTATTAAAACCTTCAGTGTAATCTCTGAGCTGCTCTTAACTGAAGCAGAGCATTGACAAGGACAAAGATTAAAAGAACAGACACAAGCACGTTGCATCCGGTCTTAATGGGTCAAAAACATCCTTTGGCTTGCCTGGTTTTACTCTAACACCCTCACATCCCTGCCAATACGTCTGAGACAGTCACATCCCATTAGCCTTAGGCAAAACCTCCCACTTTAAACCACTTAGGCTTCAATGTCTCACTACTCCACAAGGTAGTGAGAAACTGTATTATAGATGTTGACTTCATGTCAGTAATAGTTTTTGTGGTGCTGCTAAATTGCACTTGGGTACAGTAGGGTGAAAGACGTTTTTAATTAATTGTTCACCACTGTAATATTAACAAAGATGCGATAAATATAACTAATAGTATATTAAATCTCTAAAGAATTGCCAGATAAAATACTGATGGGATGCACTAGTTGTAGATAGGTGTTCTTCAGAAATTGGCAAACTTAAATTTAGTCTAGGTTATTCATAAAGTCGTAAGTACAAATTGTGTTTTCCATAAAAACGACAGACGGCTGGTCAAATTGTTTATGTAACTAGATTAAGAAAAACAGCACTTGATTTTGTTTTCTGGAGACTAACCACAAGGCTAGAACATGTGGATAAACACTACTGTAAACTGTCAACCGTAACCCTGCTTACTTTACTATGGCAGTAAACTAAAACAATTAAAAATCCACGTTATGCTTTTATGGACAGTTAATAGTACTGTGTCTGCGTGAAAGTGAAAGAAAAACTGCGGTGAAAACAAAGAGTCAAAACAATAAGTTGCTGCAGGCTAACTAAAAGTTAGCTTTCACGCAAAGTGACGTCTCTCACCTGTGTTCCCACAACAACTATCTGCGGCAGTTGGATTGTGTCTGCGCCGACAGTTGTAAATACGTCTTGCAGCTTGTTTATGACAGGTATAAGTGCCTCCATTAGCGCCGATTCTAAACCTGTCAAACAAAGAACTTTCTTAACGCACACGGGTACAAAGTCATTCAATGTCCCGCAGCTAAAAGCTACTGGTTTGTCTTCGGATCGGACATCTACGCACGTAGTTAGTCACAGTTGCATTATGGGACTTGACGTTCACGACAGTCAAACGCAGCTACGCCTCTTTCTCGGGATTCGATTGTTGCCGAACTACATTTCCTAGAGGCTACATCGTGAGCCGTACTCCCACAATAATAATTATTTTTCCCGCAACGCAACAGTAACCACGGTGAGCGTCAAAATATTTATAGGAACACAGACAAAAATTTAATTCTAATTCAAAGTTTTGTCTGGACATTTTATTATGCGCTGGTTATTGCTTATTTTACTACATTATAGCAGAGTGTCAAGTGCACTTCATACAGGAGCGAACTAATGATATTAACAGTGTTAAACTCAACCAGCACTGATGCTTGTAGTACACAAGAGGCATTAAAAGCCTATATGCTTCCGAGGCAGTTCAGTTTTAACAGTCCTTCCACAATTTACTTTACACATACCCTAACACAACAACACGTTTTTAATGGAAATAACACAACCAGACTGATGCAACATTGACAATTTATTTTTAAGCAATAAGGAAGCGTTTTAATTTATGACAACTCAAATAAAAAAAAAATGAGTATGTTAAGTTCAGCATACTAGCGTTTGCTGATACTATTGTGCTGACTTCTTTAAATATAAACTTTAGTTATTAATGATTAATGAATATTGGAGGCAATACATTGTTGTGGTATGTTGTGTAATACATGTCAGAAACATTGTGGGTCTCAGTGAATCAGAGAACCACTGCTAGGCCTGCAAAACCTTTGTGAAACATATTTTATTTGAATCAACATCATTTGTATCTGACAAATTATCTTGAGGCTTGAAACATTAACATAGATGAAGCAATTTCCACTTAAATCCAAGTCCCAAACAATCCTCTTACTTGTATTTTTGGCTTTCCAGCTATCAACCAATTTCTTTCATGTTGAACTGGCTGTAATTTCATGATCATAGTGTTCATAAAAGGTCCAGCATTGTAGAGTACAAGAATATTTTATTATTTCAAGTAAAAACTCCAAAACACAAGTTAGACAAACCAACATGTGGAGGTTTACAGGTTTTTTGTTTCTGCTCATTTGACAGCTGCAAGCAAAACACTGCTGGCTGCCACTGTTTCTGCCAGTATATGTGATTGTGGAGTTAAAATAACAAACCCTTTACAAAGAACCTGTACAAAATAGTGGTAGGCGAACTCGTAACACATACATTTCTGTGCAATATTGAGCAACATATATTTTTTTCTTAAATTTTATGTTATTTATTTTTCCACAATTGTAACAAGATAATGTTTTTAAACTTCATTATCAAAAGAAGGTGCTTGGAAAAAATACTGACAAAACTGCTTACTTCACCACTAAGCAAAAAACTACAACAATCACTCACAAGTGAAAATATGCTGGAAATATGTTGGAAAAAGATAGCTTATTTCATTTTAAAACTAAGCTAAATTGCCTGTTTATTCAGTGCCTGTCATTCCTGAATGTCAGTGCTTAACACAAATGTTCACGCTTCACAGTATTTTGAACCAACTGGCTTTCTTCAACTTGAAAAATACAAATATGTTGTATGCTTTTAAGGCATTTTTTTAAGCCATTTACATTGCACCCTATGATGCAGTGCAGTCTGTGTAAGTAGTTACCATATTACCTCTGCGTTGCGTTACTGTTCTACAGTGCTGTTTCGACGTACCATGAAACCGGTTTTCAGTCTGTTTGGTGTGTCTGTCAAAAGTAAACATTCTCTCAATATCATCAAACATATCATTGATAACCCCGGCTCCAAAACCACCTTGAAAGTGTCTTTTATGTCTGCTGTGGGACCTGGAGTGTTCATCAAAGTGTCTTCGGTGACGGGCGTGTCTGTTCTGGCTGTAGATGTCAAAGTCCTTAAATATGTCATCAAAACTGAAGGTGAAAGGTTGGTGGGCACCTTGTCTGTGTTTGCCTTGCGTCTCCCCATCGAAGTACGCGTCAGTGTCCCTGAACTGATCATACTCGCTTCTTCTTGCCTCATCTGATAAAGTTTCATAAGCTGCACAAAAATACAGAAACACAAAATTCAGTCAAAGTGAGGGAGTTTTATTATCTCAACATTAAAAAAGGTGTGGCTGAAAAAGCCCCGACTAAAGGCATGACTAACCAAACTGTAATATAGGTAATTGGTGATCAATTAAAGGACAAACTTATCCATTGGATCAACATGTGCCACCAAGAAAACCCCAACATGCATCAGTGTTCCTTATCATTAATTATTATTAGTAGTAGTAGTAATATCAGATTCACACATTGTACTGTTCACATTTCATTTGTCACTCATAAATATAAATTTTAACAGTCTAAATATCAATTTTCCTGTTTGATAGTGAATTAAAACGCTACATTACAATAACAATCATATCCAAGACATGCCAGATAACTACTAATTTTCCCAAAATACGCCAAAATAAACAAATCAGCTGTACCTCCAGCAATTTCCCTAAATCTCACTTCAGCATCAGGGCTCTTGTTCTTATCTGGGTGATATTTCTTTGCAAGCTTGTGGAAAGCCTTCTTTATCTGGCGCTCTGTGGCCCCTTTAGGCACTCCCAGTATGTCATAGTAGTCCTTCTTGGCAAGTATCAGCTCTGTTATCACGAGGACGCACACTGCAAACGTTAGCACAGAATGTGCAGCTGCCATGGCTCCAGTGTCCTGTCATTCAAGAGAGAAAAGTACAGCACAATTAGTGAGTTTCAAGCCAGACAGCACGGTGTAACTGGTAGTATGTCCTAGCCTCTGAAGAACCACCGCCTTTTAAACGCAACATCTGTCTTAACCTACATTTGGAGAATGAAAACTTAGCCAATAAGAAAAGAACTGGTACAGGCTACTGCTGTTTGAATTAGAATTTATCTTTTAAATTTTTACATTTTTAAACGGCGGCACCAACCTCTCTTAATACTAGCCTGCCGTGGCTAACACATGCTAGCGGTCCCCATCACAGTCTACTCAGGTTCCGACTCAATCAATTACCTGTCTGGGTGTCGTCTGCCGCTTCCTTTCTACACAAGCGGTCATTAACCGTTTAACCAACACCAAACATCATGGTATTAAGTTGTTATTAGTAGGTGTTATAGACGAGTAGTGTGAAATGAGACTAGTTCCATGTCTTCTTCACTAGTTTTGCGGTATCTCTTTAGACCTGACGAATTCTATCTTATCTGCCCTCTGTCGGTCAATGCCGTAAATATTCCTTCTTAAAATGTCCATAATTAGTGTTGTGAGTCCCACAGGCACTCGCATTAGTTACTAAACTCGCTATAACTATTTGAATACGCACAAGTGGTTTTATTTAATTTTGATGCAAAAGATTTTGCTGTTTATGTGATTGAACTATTTGGGTAGCATCTCTTTAATTCCACCTGCAGCGCTTCAATTTTTAACAGCAAATCCCGAGTTTCAAAAAACGTGTGGGGACAATTTCTTCATAGAAAATGCTGACTCCGCTTCCCCTAGACACATTCGGCATACACCGTAAAGCATATTAAGGGTACCCTATGCAGCTGTCCAAAGGACAACTGGCCAATCGCAGCGAAGATGGAGGATCATGTGACCATTGTTTTTCTTTCGACTGTTGATGGCACATCACTCTGGAAATTAGGCATCGGGTCGAGCAACCTATTACACTCCCGTAAGCTGTTATTCTTTTGTGTTATGGTTAATCAAGGATGGCCGTTTAATAGAAGGATTAAGTGAATCTGGTCTCTCGTGAAACAGCAAAACAAAGGACTGGTATGCCTTGTTGTTTTGTGTGCGGCCTGTATAAAAGCTAGCGTTTAGCGGTACTCTGTTAGCTAGTTGCTGATGTTGACATAGTTAACAGTGAACCTGTTGTCCTCTCACCTGTGACAGTTAATGAAATAGTGTGCTTGTTAAAAGTTGAGCGATACTCAAACACCAGATTAACAAGAACTCTTTTGGTATTTTTTTCTGTTATGCAATTGTTAAAAATAATTTTTCTCGTTTTTATTTTTAAATCTATTCATTCCAAAGGGCTTTATTGACTTGCAAATTTAAGTCAACAATTTACCATAAACAGTGTGAGATACAATGATAGATTTGATATAGCATTACGCTCTGTGGTTATTAATTCTATACAGTGTTTCCCTTATTGGGTGTATGTAGTGGTGATGTAAACTTTTTTTTTTTTCATTACCAGGTTAATGAATGGGGAAAGCACGGGTGTACTCTTGATATTTCTTCGAATGGGTTAAACCCTTGTGGACTGAAAGAATATGAATCACAGATGGGCTTCAAATACCTGGGTGAAAATAAGTAGAGCATTGCTTATATGGCAGTCCCATGCTCACAAACCAGCAGCATCATTGCCTTTGTGTGGTGCGTTTCACTGTAAGAGTCATGCACAGCAGCCCGTTTTCCATAAGGAATGCTATCTCAGCTGGAGGCACATTCACCACCTGAGGGCCAAGGGTCGCAAGGTGGGGTTCTTTAAAGGTAACCAAGTTAGACATCGGCTTGGCCTCCACACCAGCACCCTGTATTTGAACACTTCAGCTTCAAAGTGGTCTGCTGGCCTGAGCCGACATATGTCTCGTGTCAGGAACACGCTGGACACAGTTTCCAAAGCTGTGAGTGGGACACATACAGAGCTGATGTCAAAGATCTCCAGACTCAAACCTAATGCTTTAAAGGCTGATAAAAATGCTGAAGCCAGTGTTGAGACAAGACCCAAACCTGATGAGAATACAGTCACATCCACTTATGATCCTTCTAATGCTGCTCTCTCTCTAGCATCAACTGCTCAGAAACCTGTTGTTCAGAGATCTTCTGCCAATCCGTCCCTTTCCACTTCTGCCACATGTGATACAAGTTCCATTACCTCCACTCATGCTCAGACTTCTACCCAAGAGACTGTCACTGCTATAGTCCCAACTGTAACGGAACCGAGGGAGAAAAAACTGAGACGTATTGCTCCTGGCGTCAAAGCTACTCGTTCCAGGAGGCAAGAGGAGCTCCAGCCTTCGCTGAATGATTTGGAGAGCAAGAGCACAATGCCCAAACAATCCACAGACCTCTTCCATCCGAGCACCTTTTCAGTGAACCTGGGTGAGACTTACACCTATGTAGCAAATCACGTCAACTCATACTTTGGCAGCAGCATAAACACTCAGGACAAGAAAGAAGAGCATCTTGAAATCTCTTCCACTTACTCTCAGGATCAACAAACCTCAGACCTCATGCCGGTGTCTGATAAGAAAGACCCTGCTCCCCCAAAGAGGGGTTTAGGACAGTACCTGTCTTATTCAGCTCCAACTGTGCAGGCATTTGTTGGGAACTACATAGCACCTCTTGTTCCTAAGTTCAGAACAGGAGAGTCCACGAGCGCTGTACTGGAGGAAAAGAAATCAGAGGACGTGTCAGTGAAACAGGCTGAGGTTAGTAACGAGCAGAAGGCTGCGGAGGAGAAAGCCAAGAAACTTCTGCACCAAAGGGAAAAGGTAGGGCTTACAGCACAGCAGTATTTCTTTCATAAATTTTTCCTTTTGTAGTAAGCCATATATTTTTAATAACCTGTTCCTTGAGAATCCTACGGGCATGCTATAGGACTTTCTGCTTTCATTCTACTCAATATAAACTTTTTTTCAATAGTCCCAGATTTTGTGGTTTACGCTTTTTGTCTGTGTTTGAGTGAAACATTATATGCATATTAAAATGATCCAGTATAGTATAGTGTAATACAACAGAGTGTCCACAATTAAAACTCAGACCAGCGCACTTGTTATTCTATATGTCTATTGGAAGGATGTTGACTTGCTGTTCTGGGAGTTCTGGGAAGCTACATTCAAAAATAACCCCCTTGAAAAGTTATAGGGCCACAGAGAGAGGGCGCTTTATAGGCTTACGGGGGCCTTTATGTTGTGGAGATGTAAGCAAGTCTGACATCTAGTTTGTGGCAATGCTGGATTGACTTAAATGTGCATAACATACATGGTCTTAGATATTATTATAACATATTAAATAATATATCAAGCACATACATAATATTCACAGCAACCATCATACCTGCCTAGTGAGGAAATAATGTACTGTATTTTTTATTTATTTATTTTTGCTTTTATGTCACAGATTATTGCAAGAGTGAGTGTGGACAATCGAACCCGGGCACTGGTTCAGGCTCTCCACAGGGCATCAGATGTAAAGGTTTATATCAACAGGGTGGAGGACTTAAGTTACCACCTCTTGGAGTTTCCAGAGACTCGTGGCGTTGCAGTGAAGGTGAGAAATGTAGCAGTATGTGGCGAGGTGTGGTCTGTGGCTCAGCTGCAGGGGAGGGGTGGTGCAGTGGGTTTATGGGGCAGTGCCAGGGGAGACTGACCAACACAGCTGGAGATCATGCCTCCCCTATTTGGGCGGCACGCCAGGATCCGAGAGGATGAGGGAACTGAAAGCAGACAGTTGCGGGCGCGCATTTGTCGCAGCAACTGTGCGAACCAGCCAGCAACAACAACCTGAAAAGGCAAAACTGTAAATAAAGAGCTGAAAACACAGAAACACTGTGTGGGTGTGTGCGGCGTACACGCAGCAAAAGCAGCCAATTGCGTTACACAGTAAAGATGGTTTTTCTTGTTCATTTTCCAGCAGATTAACATCCACACGTGGGTGATGTTTTTTTTTATAGAGAGCTGACGGAGTTGTCAAAACAGTTTTCAGCAGCATGTTTCTTTTTATTTACATGTTAATTTCCACGTTATGTATGTACGGTCTGCATATGCTGTGTGGTCAGTTGCTGAGCTTCTGCAGCATTAGCATGAGAATCATATACGTTGTGCTTTCTGATTGTATTTGAGAATTCTCCGATGCTTGCAAAATGTCAGTCTGTGAGCTGCGCTCAGCAGGTTACACACAGCTCTAAATGCAGACTGCAGACTGTTACATAGATTTATGTCACATCAGTGATACCACAAATACTGATCTAGAGTATTTTAAACCAAGGTTGTTTTTCTCTGTAAATCCAGTTTTTGGTTTCTCGTATTGTTGAGAGCCTCACTTTGCACGGAAATAAATGTAATGATATTTAAGTTTTCATGCACTCATGCTGTGAGGGGGGAAAAAAGAATCTCTTTAGACATCTTCGGCATTTATTTCGGTCACATTGCTCAGTCTGTTTGCAGTACCTTTAGCTGTCATGTTTTATTTATGATCAAGGTTTTACAGATGTGCAGTGGTCACACCAGTATCGACCCCCATCCATTTTTAACCATGACAACGAAGGTCAACATTAATTTCTCATTGCAAATTGATTGCACTGTGTATTTTTCGCTAAATTCAGTCTGAATAAATAATGACCGGTGAACGAGCGAAACTGGTTTCAGCCTTTTTCATGGAAACAGTGGGGATGACCTCTGATTCAGTAAGCGTCGATAGTTTGTGCCCTGGTTTATGTAACTATGTGCTGACTGATATCAGGCAGCAGAATTAGATGGGATGCAGGGTGAGAAATACAAGGAAAGAGTAAATCTAACAGGAAGTAATCATGATGCATTATCAAAACAAGGAGAATATAATATACGATCAAAAAGAAGACTGTTTATTCATGCATGCCTGAACTTTGCTTGTTTTCATATTTGTTCACCCGTTATGATGTTGAAGTTTTGGTTTTGAGAGCGCAGCTACGTCTCGTAACAGAGAGACGGTTCACCTCTACATTCCTATTTTCTACTCCACACCACTTCATGGTGGATTGACAGCATTTTCTGTTTCCGGTGCTGACTGTCATGCTATGTTTGTATTTGTCAGGAGAAAGTTATCCCTTGCCTCCTCCGTCTGGAACAGGCTAACGATCCGGGTCTGAGAGCAGCCGTTAGAGAAGCACTCGCTCTGGTGGGCTATCATAAACCTGTCAAAGGCAGAGGAATAAGGATCTTGTCCATAGATGGAGGAGGTTTAAGGTACACGCTCGGCTCCACTCCCCTGCCCCCCACACTCATCTTTACTTTAAGATATGAGTTGATGATATCAAGTTTACAGTGTCAAAGGTTGTACACTTCTTCTATTAGTCTTTAAATCTTGTGCTCTTGATGATGAGTTGGTTACTAACGTCTCATGCATGTATCCATGTATTTGTCTGGCTTTCTACTTTCAGGGGAATTGTTGCCCTTCAGACGTTACAGAAGCTAGAAGCCCTGACTGGGAAACCCACTTACAAACTGTTTGATTATATCTGTGGTGTCAGCACAGGTACGCTGTCCTCCTGCCCTACTTCTGTATAGTCAGAGGCATGTATATGGATTATCTGAACAAAGTGCAACACTTAGCA